GAGAGAGAGAGAGAGAGAGAGAGAGAGAAAGAGAGGGCACGCACAGCACTGGTCCCCATCAGGAGAAGGGTGGTTTGTGAAGGGTGCATGGTGGACACTTGAGCCTCTTGCACCATCTGCTCATCTCTGCAAAGGATTCAGAAACAGAGGCGATCCAGTGTTTCCAGGAAACCATGCTCTGGTGAAGAGACCAGAGATCCAGGACAAACAGGCAGCTCTGCGCTCTGCTCTGGTCCTCACCACACGGCAGGTGTGCTCTCTGATGCCAAGCCTGGAGCCAGGTCAGTTGCTGAGCAGCTGGCCATGAGGAGCTGGCCAGTGAGCCTGGGGCCCAAGTCTTTCAGGGCAAGTCCAGAGGGGCAGCCTGGCAAATCTGAAAGGAATGTCAAGGCTGCAAGTACAGCAGCACCACTGACCAGAGCACAGGCCTCTGCAGACCCAGACTGAAAACAGAGGGTACAACAAGCAGGGAGAGCAGCAACATTGGCCTCTTAGGAAAACAACTGAGCAAACAAGCACTACGACTTGAACAAGGAACAGATCTGTCCTTCCCGCTGGGCATATGGCCGTCACCGACTTGGCCCAGACTCGCCCAGCCTTGTGGGGCGGCCGGACCTGGGAATGGATGGTTTCCTTGTTGCTTCCTCCATGTCCCCACCTGCCTGTGCCCTGCAAGCAGGAGAGTCTGTGACTGCACCAGACCTCACCTCTTCCTTGAGGGGAGTCAGGGTCCCAGGCCGGCCTCCCACTGCCCGACCCAACATGTCACCTTATTGGCCAACTTCGAGTCCATCTTGCTCCTGGTTCTACCTCGCCTGGTACTGGCTGCTGTCCCTCACATGCCAGGGCAGTGTTCTCCAGCAGTCCGTGCTCCTCACTCCCCCCTCCCCAGCTCAGTAGCTCCACCCCAGGGCTTCACCCCACCCCCGCCCCTTGGCTCCTCAAAAGCCCCCACTCCTTGTCCTCAAGGGTCTGTGTAAATGTCCCCTCCTTGATCTGTGTAAATGTCCCTGGCCTCCCAGCGGAAGTCAGAGGCCAACTCTTTCATTCATGCATCTACTACAATTGGAGAGCAGGTACTGCAGGCACCCCCTGAGACTGACATTCTTTCTTCTGCCCTTCCATGCAAAAGCAAGCGTTGCTAAGGAGGGTGAGGCTCTCATCAGGGTGGCCCCACAGGAAGATGCATTGCTCCCATGCCACCCTCCAACCTGGTCTGGGGCAGCTGGAACAGGGTAGCAGCCATTCTCAGGCCTCCCGCACTTCCCCAGGGACTCACCAGGGATGTGGAGGGTTGTGCACCAAGCCCTGCTCTGAAGTTTCACCAGACGCTTTTCAGAGGCCACATCTGGCCTCCACGCTCGGCCTTCATATGATCACAACAGATCACCACAGAGACAGACCGGCTCTCCGGGAAGATATCTGGAGAAGGGGTGGGGATGGGGTGGGAAGGACAAATGAAGCCAGCAGGGGCCAGGCCTCTGGCATGGGACATTAGAGGGAGGTGGCCGCTCTCCCAGAGGCCTCGGAAGGGCACCAGTCCTGTGTGCCTCGTCTTGCTGTGAACAGACACAGGCTAGAGGGAGCAGAGCCTCTCCCTCCCATGGAGGCAGCTCTCTGTTCCAACACGACGAAAGGGTGAAAGGACTCTGTGGATTGCAAAAAAAACACAAACAGCTATCCTGCCACAGCATGGATGCCTTTCCTGCCACGGAGTTATACACGTAACACTGGCTACAAGGATAGATTT